GTGCAAAAACCTGTGAGCTGCTGTGAAACTACCGACAGGAGCTACTGAGAGCAAGGACGAAGGGGACAGCCCCTGAAAGCCTGAGCAGCAGAAGTCATGGTTGTGGAAATTTCACAGATTTGGTGGGACAAGCAGGTAGTTTTGCTCAGGAGATATTGACTGGACTTCTGCCAGTTACTAGCAAAACTGCTGGTGAAATGTGTTAATGATATCTCATTATCTGCTGATTACTCTGTCATTAAAACATGAGACCACCTGTAGTTGTGGAATTGGCAGGCTGTTTCCTAGGGTCATTAGGACAGTGGTAGTAGCTACACTCTCTAGGTATGGCAGCATCTACCTTATTTACAAAGCTGTTAAGTTTATCTTTACGAATATTTACATCCAACCCCTTAGGAAAAAAATATATTCTCTTGTTCCTCCATCATCAGGCATGGCTTTTTGTTTGTTTTTATTTTAGTTCTTTATGGATTTTCTTTTCTTACTTCTCTAGACTACAGGTTTCTTCTTTTTGTTAGGTTGCCTAAAGTTTCTTCTTTTTGTTAGGTTGCCTAAAGTTTCTTCTTTTTGTTAGGTTGCCTAAAGTTTCTGTCATGAAAAAAATATGCACGCCAGCACCTAAAAGAAAGAAAGAAGTTATTTTAAGGAATGAACATAAAATATTTAAGAGAGCTTTCTCATCATCACTCCAAATTATAGTTAAAACTACAAGCAATAATGTGCCCCACCATTCTCTCTTTTTTTTTTTTAATAGGAAAAAAAGAAAGACATTGAGAACAATTAATCTAAAATAAAGTATGCTAAAATCTTTCTGGGTTATATGCCAGTTACTAAGTAATGTGGTCTGGTAGTGCTTTCTTTTTGCTTAACGTTGGAGTGTACAGGAAAAACTGAAGCCAGAACTTAGGGATTAACAGTGGAATGCTTGTAGTTGTAGTGGGTTAGTTTTTTATGATGTGTTGTTCCTGACGAAGGGCCAATTAATTTTTATGGCTACGTTTCCCCATATATGCACTTCAGCAGAGCAAGTCATCTCTACCTGTGGCTTTTTAGTTAAAAATTCTGTTTTTATTTTTCACTTCTGGCAGATGGAGACCGAACATGTGTTCTTTCAGTAGCTGTAGCCAGCACAGTGTTTATTGCTAAGTGAGTTCTGCTTAGAGTCTTAAGCTGAGTTTGAAAGTGTCAATAATGCAGGTGGGCAAAAGTTCAAGACTACTAAAATGTGCCTAGCATTTTTGTGTGCATTACTGTAGTTGCATGAGCACTTACTGTAGTTAGTAAAATCACAGTCTTTGCCTCAATTAGTTATAAAGGAACATGACAAGATACGACGCCAGGATAGATAAGAGAGAGGGAGTAAAGCCATATAGGGAGGGTTATAGGGCTGTCTGCCTGGGTGAGATATTGCATGCCACATGCTCTGTCTTCTGCAGCAAGCAAAAAAAAAGAAAAAAAAAAGGAAAGAGAATATTGTAGATTAAGAAACAGTGCATTTCTGGGCTGAGATTTGGAAGAAGGAGTAGCTGTGAGGCCAAGTGGTGAGTATTAAGATTAGGGGTCCTGAAACTCCCCGAAGCCACAGAGTGCACCTACCTGCACAGTGCTTTGAAACATACAGTCAACATAGATGAGATGGAAGAAAGTAAAACTGATGTAGAAAGAAGCAGACTGAGTGTAGGTTTTCCACGTCTGGAGTTCACATCCAGCTCTTCATTCTTTGGACAGCAGATTTTCTTTCCCTCTGAGCCCTCATTCTCCATATCACTACAGTCTTCTGCCTTGTTTTTTAGTTTTTAGATGGATCTTACTGTGGGAGCAAGCTGTATTCTGTTCTGGGGCTGCCACTCTTTCCATTTGCTCATAGTTTTTCCCATCATGAGTACCACCAGTAAATTGAAGAGTGGAGACAGAAATGTGCATCTTGATCTATTTGTGAACCTTTTTGTTATGCTGCTGAAACCGAAATCCCTCAAGTGTACAGCCCAGCTCTCTTAAGCCTCCAGGACACCACTTTGACTGTAATTTATGTTGGTTTTAAAGCACCCTTTTTTGATGTAACAGCTGTGTTAAAGGATCCCACAGCAAAGGAAAATCAGGTTGTAGCACCTTTATCTACTGCGTGCTCTCAGGCAAGTGATGTGCTGCCAATGATGGTGTATGGTATGATGCTGAACAAGCCTTGGCACTGCTCCTGTGCTATCTCACAGCCACCTAGAGCACTGTTTAACAGCTTCCCTTTTACGGTATTGGGGAGAGATTATATCCTTGCTTTTCCCTCTCTGAAGCTGCAGTGACACATGTGAGAGCTCCAGGAGGTGGGCAGGGATGTGAGAGTGCACAAAGGTATAGCAGGGGAAGGCAGACTTGCTCAGGCACACCAAGGACTTTCACCCATCCCCTCTCATGCAGAGCAGTAGCAGGGTGTTTGCAGGGGTCTGGCACGGACACAGAGCAGTGCTGGGACTCCAGTCTCCACCTTCTGAAGAAAAGGAGATGCCAAAGGAGTGTGAGGCATTACCATGTCCTGAGCAGCCTTTTGGAGGCAGAGTGGGCTTTGTGAGCTCCCCTTGTACCATCACTTAGTGATGATACTGAGCTGCTGGTGCCCAGAAACTGACTCTGCAGGGTCTGGAGAAGTTCCCCATCAATGGTGGAAAACTGAGGGTTCTCTGCCCTCTCATGCTGGCTCCAAGCTATTCTGAGAAGGCAGGTCTGAATGGTGTTTGGGGTCATTTCCAAGTTTGTGATTGCTCTTGTTGAAATGGAAGTGCCAGCAAGAGTGTCCAGCTGCTCTGCTTTGTAAGGTCTCAGTCTTGAGAGATTTCTTCAGTGGTACCACTAATAGCTGGCAGTATTAATCTGCTTTCAGTATCCAATTATGAAAGTGGGAGGGCTGTGCAGAGCAAATAAGGAGTGTAATGCCAAAAGCCTTTCTAGCTAGGCTGTGTGCAGCAGTCCAGAGCAACACTGGTGATCCCTGTTAAAGTCTAGTACCATTCATCCGGTACTTGCTTGAGCCTTCCAGCTGGGTTTATTGAGGAGCTAGGTTGAAGTTTTAAGCTGGCTGGTGACCACTTGTTCTTTACAATTCCTTGCAGTTGTGGTTGTTCTTGTGCACTCCCAGATACATGGTTAGACTTGTGTGAAGAGAAGTGTTGACCTTCTAACCCCTTGCCTACCCCAGCTGCCTCTTCTGTCTTTACACTTGCATTAGATAGAAAGCAGAACTTCTGGTCCTTCCTTCTTGCTGGCTGACCACTACTTTCAGTTCATTTCCCTCCACGGTGGTGAATCCCTTCATTTTTCCCTTCTGACTAATGACAGGGGGAACCCTGTTTTGTTTTCCCTCTTGTTTTACTTTGCACATTCATTTTCCTGTGTTCTTCCCAGGTCTATGTCAGATTTGTATTCAGCTGTTGCCCTGTATCTTCTTCAGCTCTTGGTGCTCTTCCTGTTTGTTCTCCCTTTTTCCCATGGTCTTCAGGAGGGGTTTTGTGGTCTGTAATTCGGGTGTCAGGATTGTCCTATACGATATAGAGTTGTAGCATGGTGTTACCAGGATCTGAAGTATCCTTCAGACTCTTGAACACTATGGAAGAGTCAGAAGAGCCCTTTGCAATATATTTGTTGTGGACAATGCACATGGTGTGATATTTTTTTTTTTCCCTGTATAGCACCAGGAGTTGGACTCAATGACCCCTGTGGGTCCATTTCAGCTGTGGATATTCTATGATTCTGTGGTGCATGCTGGTAAGCTGGACTAGTGGTAGCATTTCTCTGAAGTACTGCCTGACCCATGGCCTGGGTTTGATGTAGAGAGCTGCTGGAGAAGGTTGTCTGGGATAAGCCATTGCAGAGCAGCCTGTAAGATTAACCTTTCTGACCCTGTGGCTTTACTGTCAGAAATTTATAGTCAATGTGCTTCCAATAAATTCCTCCAAGCAGACTGTTCTGCATTTGGCAGTCAGGCAGGCTTCTTGGATCAGCACACATGCACAGTTAGCCCCAGTGCTGAGGTTAAAGCTATCTACTGGCTCACAGCTGACCAGATGTTTGAGTGCATCTGGAAGCCTGTTCTCTTACTTAGACATGCAAAGGCTACCTCTTCCTGTCTGCGCAGACAGAAACTGTTAGTATCCATTGCTCCAGTAAGTACTGCTGACCAGTGGGGTTCATGCATGCTGTGAGTGAGGAAGGTTGTGCCTGGTGCTGGTGTAAAGTGAGATGGAAGGATTTAAGCAGGATCCATTTTATCCCATCTGCTCTTCTGTCCTGCGGGAACACCACAGGCCTGTACCAAGGTGTTCCTGGTGATGCTGTGAGGTACATTTTTCAGCAGAACAAACTTAAATCTGATTCTGACTTTCTGATGGTTGTGGTTTTGGACAGATTTTAAAAGCTAATCTAAAGGAAGAAGCTTTTTCCTCCACTGTGTTTAGAAGTGTGTACTCAGGAACCATAGGCCACTTTTGGCCTGCAGAATTTTTTCTCTTATTTTCCAAGGTGTTGCATGCCCTTCTCTGCTCCTTAAGAAGGAGAACTGGGCTGTGAAGGGTCTTGGCTGTGTGTCTATCTGCCATGTGCTATGTCCCTGTAAAACTGGATTTCTACCTGCTCTGGCAAGTCTACCTGCCAGCTGTGTTTTGTGTTACTCATTTTCTTAATGTCTCACTGTCACAGTTTAACTCCACCTGGCAACCAAGTAGCACGCAGCCATACACTGAATCCCTCCTCCATGGGATGCAGGAGGGTGCTGGAAAGGTAGAAGTGGGAACACTCTTGGATTGAGATAGACAGTTTAGTAGGTAAAGCAAAAGCCATGCGCACAAGCAAAGCAAATCAAGGAATTCACTCACCCCTTCCCTTTGATAGGCAGGTATGCAGCCATCTCCAGGAAAGCTGGGCTTTATCATATGTGGCAGTTACTTGGGAAGACAAAACCCATCACTCTAAGTGTCCTCACTTCCTTACTCTTCCCCCAGCTTTTTGTGCCGAGCATGGTGCCGTGTGATATGGAATATCACTTTGGTCAGTTGGGGTCAACAGTCCTGGCTGTATCCCCTCCCAATTTCTTGTGCATCCCCAACATCCTTACTCGTAGAGTCTTAGGAGCAGTAGAAAAGGCCTTCATGCTGTGTAAGCCCTGCTCAGCAGTAACAGAAACATCTCTATGTTATCAACACTGTTTTCAGCACAAATCCGAAACATAGCCCCATATAGACACTGTGAAGTAAATTCACTCCACCTCAACCACAACCAGTATACTCAAAGAGGAAAATTCTCCCAAGATGCTGCATGACCCTCTGACTGTCACAACAGTTTCTTTGATGAAAGATGCCTTGCTGTGCGGAGGTGAAGGCGATAGAAACCCTGCTGTCCTGCTCCGCTTCACCAAAGTGATGCCAACTTTTGACTCAATGAAAGGCAGAATTTGGATAAGCATCCTGCCTGGAGATGATGTGCTAGGGCTGTGCTCTGCTGCTGGTTTTGGTAGATACCTGGGTGATGTATCAGGTGATGTCACTGTCGAGAAGACCCGGTGTTACCATTCAGGAGGAGAAAGCCACAGCCAATCTTCTCATGTTTTTATTTAATGAAAATTGAATTTTGACCTCAAGACCTGAGCAAAAGGATGGTCAAAGGGGACTCTGTGTAAGTGAAGTCACTTTAGGAAAAGTCCATGCTGGCAAGCTGCTTAGCCAGGTGACCTGCTAGCTTGGCACCTTAAGCCTGTACTGCAGTGGCCTGGTGTAAGTAAGTGTGCACGTACTCATCTGTGTCTCCCTCTCTCACAGCAAAATGAGCTGAACTCCTTCCTGTGGACCATCAAGAAAGATCCCCCGTCCTATTTCTTTGGCACCATCCATGTCCCGTACACGCGTGTCTGGGATTTTGTCCCAGAGAACTCCAAAAAAGCCTTCCAGCAGAGCCACATCGTGTACTTTGAGCTGGACCTCACTGACCCCTACACCATCTCAGCTCTCACCAGCTGCCAGCTCCTGCCACAGGGGGAGAACCTCCAGGATGTGCTGCCCCGTGACATCTACCACCGACTCAAGCGGCACCTGGAGTATGTCAAGCTCATGATGCCATCCTGGATTACCCCAGACCAGCGGGGCAAAGGGCTGTATGCAGACTATCTCTTCAATGCCATTGCTGGCAACTGGGAGAGGAAGAGGCCAGTCTGGGCAATGCTGATGGTGAACTCTCTGACAGAAGCAGACATCAAGTCACGGGGTGTGCCCGTCCTGGATCTGTACCTGGCCCAGGAAGCGGAGCGGCTGCGGAAGCAAACGGGTGCTGTGGAGAAAGTAGAAGAGCAGTGCCACCTGCTCAATGGGCTGAACTTCTCCCAGGTGAGGCAGAGTGGTGTGCAGGGTGCCAGGCTGGCTGCTCAGGTGGATATCACAGCAGCAAGAGCACGGGCTGGGGTGTGGGGTAAGTGCTTTCTACCCAGTGATTTGCTTGCTCCCTGCCACCTGTGTCTTTGCTTAAGTCCTCAGGGGAGTTTGCTAGCATAGGAGTTCAGTCTAGATAATAAATTCATTTGGGCCTTCCTGGGGAGACCCCAGTTCTCTTCCTTGGGCAGCCTCCACCCTCAGGGACACTGGACCTTTGGATGTATGCTCTCTGTCCCTGACTGGGCTGTCCTGCAGGAGCCCAGGACAGGCTGGGGCTCAGTTTTTGTAATAGCAAATTAAAAAGACAGGTGTGATCTCTTGGGGGGAAAGCAGGGGTGCAGTGAGTAGTGCTGAGAAGTAAGTGCTGATCGTAAAAGTATCACAGTGGATATTTAAATGCCCACAGTTATAGGGCCCTCTACATTGGGAAAAGTGTGGGGTTTTTGTTTTGGATTTTTTTCCCTTCCTTTGATACCAGGTGAAGGGCAACACAGCACAGTTTTCTGCAGGGAGCTTCACAGGCTAGTGTGGGTGCTGGTCCTAGAGCCTTTGTGTTTGCAAACCAGATGGAGTTCAGCACCCTTGTTCATGCAGTATCACAGCAGGCAAGTAGAGTGACCTTTGTGATGTCCATGTGTTGTCCTCTCAGAACTAAATACTCCAGGGAACAGTATCTGTCACTGTCTCTGCCCTGTGCTAATCACATGGAGGCATAAGGTTGCTCTCTGATGTTGGATGACTTTGCTAGAGGGAGGTGCTAGTTTGGGGAGATGAAATGGCATTTACTTAGGAATAGGTGAGACCTGCATTTTGCAACATGCCCTGATAGCGCAAGGTGGGAGGATCTTTGGTCATGGATCTGGGAAGTTTCAACTGATGCCCAACCCTTTCCCCTGCATCCTGTCCTGTCACTGTTGCAGAATGTCCTGTGCTGGAAGGGAAGGAGCAGAAGGGGAGGTGCAGCCCAGCAAGGGCAGGGACAGCATTTTGGGGTAAATGTCTGCAGTGTTGCTACCCCAGCCAACATTGGTGGGGAACCACTGTGCAGGGAATAGCACAGCAGCACAGGCTGCATCACTTGTGCAGTCCTTAACTGCAGGCAGGACATCACTTCACTTGTTTGGAGCTGGGCAGCCGCATCTCCAATCTTGCTTAACATTGTGCTTTGAATCCTTATGCTGTCTCTTTGTTCACAGCTAACACAGGAATAGGCTGAGAAGTCCCATTTCTTCCACCTCTTTCCTGGTTGAGGCTTTATTAACGTTATTGTTCATGTTTTTCTGTTGCTGCCACAGCCCCTTTGGTTTAACATGAGAGAGGTGGAGAGAGAGACAGTGGGCCATGTGCATTCCTCTCCACTGCCTTGTAAGAAAGCAGTAGGGAGACTGAGAAACACTGCTTGCAAATTATGTCCCAGTTAAGCTCATTGCAAATGTTGACTCTTTAAGCCTTCACACGGCTTTCTTCAAAGAGCAGCTGTTGCTGTGCTGTTTTGCAGATGGAATAAACATCAGGCTGCACTGGCTAGGGACACAAAGCTGCAACATCTAGAATTGCCCAACCTGCTGAGGGGGCCAGAGTGACCAGAACTGCAGGAGAAACTTGCCTCTAATCGGGACAATCACAGCCCATAGTTGCCCCACAGTGAGTGGAGGTGTACATGTGCATCCTACAGGCTGTGGCTCTTTCCATGCCTGCTCACTTCCAGGGGAGTCCCTCGAGAGAGCAGGTCTGGAGCAGCTACTGCACTGCAAATTCACACCTTCACTTTTGCCCACTACCAGATTTCCAAAATGGGCAGCTTAAGGAAAAGGAGAACCAGAAACAGATGACTTTATTTCTAAGCCAATTTCTTGGCTCTTTCAGAAAATTACTTGTGAACTGTCACGGCTGGCAATTCTGTAAATCTTTGATTTTGGAGCTTTCTTCTCAGTTTGTTCAGGCAGATTCCCAGGGCAGCCTGTGCCAGTGCCTTACCACTATCACAATAAAGAGTTTCTTGCTGATATCTAACCCAAACCAACCCTCAGTTTAAAGCCATTCCCTTGTAAAAAGTCTCTCTCCATCATTTTTGTCATTTCCCTTCAGATACTGGAAGGTGTGTTTGCAGGTCACCCTGAAGCCTTCCCTTCTCTAGGCTGAACAATCCCAATTCTTAGTTTTTCCTCAGAGGTGCTCCATCCATCCAATCCATCCCTCTGGACTTACTCCAGCAGGTCCATGTCTTTGCTGTGCTGAGGACCCCAGAATTGGATGCAGTGCTCCAGGTGGGGTCTCACCAGAGCAGAGTGGAAGGACAGAATCCCCTCCCTCAACCTGCTTGCCATGCAGCTTTGGATGCAGCCCAGAACACAATTGGCTTTCTGGGCTGTGAGTGCCCATTGCTGGGTCATGTCCAGCCTCTCACCCACCAGCATCCCTCGGTCCTTCTCAGCAGGGCTGCTCTCAGTCTGTTCATCCCCAGCCTGTGCTGATACCAGGGGATGCCCCAATCCAGCTGCAGCACCTTGTGTTGGTCTTTTACAACTTTGAGAGTTTCCCGTGGGCCCACTTCTCAAGCTTGTCCAGGTCCCTCTGGATGCCATTTAGAGGGATGCTTTTTATCCTACAGCAGAGAGGAATTATTTACTTGGCAGAGGAGCAAGTTTAGTGGTTTCAGTTTGTTTCTGTATAGGATCTGCTCTTTCCTTCACATTCAACCTGATTGTACTACCTGGTGAGGAGGACTCCCAAGGCACTTCCAAGCAATATGTTGTTATTAGCTACATTCCTGTTTTGATCCATGCTTTGAGCAAGGCCTTGTTGATGTATGTTATTGCAGGCAAAGGTCTGGAACAGTTTACTGTTGTCTCCCTGGGTTTCACAATGCTCAGCAATTGCAAAGTCCAGACAAACCCAAGCTATCAACTTCATTCTTCTCCTTGTGAAGTGAGAACAGTAAAAAATAAAGAAAATACTCCCAACAGCCAACACTGTCTGTCATGGGGCTTTTTTTGTACCAGTTTTCTCTTTATCTTTTTTTTAATGACTCTCTTATTTTGCCAGCCAGATGTCTCTGTTCTTGCTCACTCAGGCTGGCTGCCCACATTGCTAAGTCATAAAAGTATCATTTCTGTACAGTGCACAATGATGGGTACACTATTTTTGAAATACTTTACTGCCTTGTCAATCTTGTTCTAAATTCTATGCAACTTTAGGGAGTATGGAAAGATTAGTCTACCTCCATGTCAGGGCCATGGTGTTTATTTTTCCTTTCATGCTCTTTCTATCCTAGTTTTTCTTAAAGACTTGTTCTTCCAGCCATCTCCTCTCATGGGTAGTGCCTCTTGTTGTAATACCCTGTAAGGATTCAGGTCTCGTTTCTAGCAGTATCTGGGCTTCCAGAAGATAGAAGATTTTGTAGCTGTATAGAATCTGCCACCACTGACTTTCAGGACTGAAGTCAGTCCCTCAGACCTCCCAGCTGTTCCTTTCAAGTTATGCACATGCTTACTTGTTTGTTGTATTGGAAGCATTAGTGCTCCAGTCTAAAACCAGTGCAGCTTTGCTGTTGGCTTCAGCTGTAGTGTCATGAATATTAGTTTGATGTTGGCTCAGAAAATGAGCAGACTTTGGCCTGTACTGTGGCATACACTTGCTTTGGTATACTGAGGTGATGTCCAGGCTGTATTTCTCACAAATTGGTTTAAACTTGAACACAAAAAGTTTGGACTTATGTCTACCCTTTGTGTGGACCTACGGTTCAGTGTGTAAACACTGTCCACCACTTCCTAGCCAACACCCTCTCTGGTTTGGCTTCTCCACTACGGGGACACTTTGTGGAAGATTCTACCTGTTGTCTGTTCTTGATTTGAGAATTATCTCCCCACATGACTTACCTGTGGCCAAACCTTATGACAGCACTCTTCCTATCTGACCATCCGAATGCATGACTACATCTTCAAAGGTAGTCTTCAAAACTGCTTGGGTGGCAGTAGAAAGCAGGCAGCCACTAAGGGCTGACTGCTCTTGAAATCCTGGCTTCAAATCTGGGACTGAGCACTTGAAAGTCTTGCCATTTTCATGTTACAGCCGGTTCCTCATACAGTTAGTTGCAGATAGACAACGAAGCAAAGTTTTCTACATTAATAATTTTGCATCAACTAGGATAATATTTGTTCATGTTTCTAGTCGAAGAGCAACCTTTGCAGCAACAAAGCACTGATTCTTGCTTTCCTCTAGAGGGTTCCCAGCTCTTCCAGTTTCTGGACTGCTAATGTGAGAGCTGTAAGACTCCTGCTTAGCAAATACAGCCCTTCTGACATAACAGCAACATCATTTTTCCTACTTAACCTATAAACTCACTTGGGTGAAAGGGCTGCCCTTGATAGCCCCTCATATAAAATTATTATTTAGTAACAGTCTACATCTGTGGGGAAGGTAGGAAGCGAAGACACCACTGCCTTGTTACATGTGTTACATGGTTTGTTGGTTGACTTGGTCCCCTCTTCTCTCCCCTCCTTTTAAGAAGTTAGAAGTGATGGCTTGAAATTAGATGCAAAAGATACCAGTATAAAATGGGAGAGAATTGTGCTAGATTTCTCGTTTCAAATAAAGAGGGTTTTTTTGCTACATGTAATTGGTCAGCTATACTGTTTGTTTTTAATTTCTGGGATCATGAGGCCAGATCTGGCAGTGTTTCCATTCATAAAACTTTGGTTCAGGTTCATTTTTGACAATGGCAGTAATGGAAAACCTCAGAAAAAGAAAAAGCAAGGAGAGGCACATGGTGCAAGATCTGCAAGGAGCAGTTAAGATCTAAATTGGGAGCAAAATGAAGAGCAGTTGCTTGATGAAAGAGCTGACAGAGAAGCAGAGCATTTAATTGCTAAACAAGTTGGACGGGACCCTGTTTGTGGTAACCTGATTGCATCTTCTGCCCTGAGGGTGTAACTTCAAGCTGTATTTGTCAGCAA